TAAAAATAACCGTACCTGGGATTTCATTTCATACAACTACAAATACAATATATATATATATACTAATAAAAATAACCGTACCTGGGATTTCATTTCATACAACTGCAAATACTATATATATATATTTACTAATAAAAATAACCGTACCTGGGATTTCATTTCATACAACTGACAAATACCCTCATCAACTGGTGTGAGCTGGATGGCTTCATCCCACTTCTTAATGGCCTCCCAGTATCTGCACAAACAAGTTTGTCAGTTGTAAGGTCCAGAACAGATGGGAAACATCACATAACTGAACATATATGAGGAAATTGTGTGTATATTCACAGCCATCTCTGCACATACTGATACAACAGCATCTCGTGACTTATGGAAGCTATCTTACAGTGTATATGTAAAGTCTAATGCTAAGATCAAATTATTATCTAAGATACACCAATCGTTTTATTAGTATCATACTGCTAGCAGCACTATCAGGAAATATCAGTACTGGTGATACAGACTATTATGGATGACAAAAGTGAACAATGAATTAATACACTTTTAAAACATTAAACTTTTGCAAGTGGCTAGCAATGTCTGAATTTACATAAACACACAAAATACATTTTGAAAATATCAGTTTTGGCTGATAGCCAAATACAAATATAGGTACTATTGGTCAAACGTGCAGTTCTGACTTCTAATGCATTGTACTCTCATGAATCAACAGAGCTGGAAGAATAGCCCACCAATCTCGTCAAAAGACACATAGTTCAGATATACGCTTTTAAGCCATTATAATGTAATGCTCCAAAATTATCATCTGCCAAAGATAGCAGTCAGTCCTGCACAAATATTTTGAGATCTAGGAGCCAGCCCAAAAACTCAGGATCCAGGTGTGCCTAACCTAACTTCACTATTGTTTGTACTGAGAAATGGGAGCTACACTAGTGCCTCAATATTCCGTTCCTTTGTTATCCGTGATCCTCGATTATCTGCTGTTTTTCTCTTCCCCAAACTTTCTCAAAATAATTGTGCCAATACAATTCTAGACAATAATTTACATGTTTTGGAGAAATTGTCACTCAGAAATTAATTATAGTTGCAAATGTTCGGGTGTTGCTTGATATCCGGCATGCATTCAAATCGTAAGTTGGCCAGTTCAAGCCGAGCCTTGCCTCTTTTATTTTTAGCTGTTAAGACAGGAATACAAAATATTTATAGCTTGGTTAACTTTATTTGATTAGTAATTAAAAACATAGTATAAAAAACACACAAAATACACATTAAGATTTCTTAAAGATTTCATTCAACTTCAGTTGTCTGTCTGTTTTATTTTGAATTTTGCTCAAAGCTACAGGAGGGCTATCTGCACTAGCCGTCTCTATAATAGCAGTGTAAGACTAGAGGAAAGGCAGCTAGTCATCACCACCCACCGCCAACTCTTGGGCTACTCTTTTACCAATGAATAATGGGATTGACGGTCACATTATAATGCTCCCCATGACTGAAAGGGTGAGCATGTTTGGTGGGACGGGGATTCAAACCCGCGACCTGCAGATTGCGAGTTGAGCACCCTAACCACCTGGCCCACTTCAGTTGTCATCCACTGTTCTGTGCTACATGGCAGGCATCCTATAACCACAGATGCATGTTCAGGTTGTGTTAGGGTGTCACCCAGTTATGCATTGTCTTCTTTCCTACAGATAATTGATATCTTCAGTCTGTTTTAACAAAGGCTTTTTTGTAATAATTCTTAAGCATAGATTTGTGCTAATTTTTGACATATTTTTTACAGCCATCTATAGGGTGCAAATTCACTTCTGTGTCTATTGGAGAAAAACGTTCTGAAATTTAGGAACTATTTACACCTATGTTAGCAATTAAATTCAACTGAAATGGGAATGGGCAATCAAAAGCGGAAGTATTATAGGATAAAATGTGGAATTAGACTCGTGTAACTCATGAGAAGACATCAAGCATGACTGACTGATACTTGGCTTTTATGATTATGACGACTTTTATAATTTTTCATGATAATGTGATTAAACAACAGTAAAAAGATTATAATTTAAAACAATAAACTTAAATATATCGAAAAATTTTATTTAGATTAAATAATGGGCCAACTAGTGAGATACACTAGTGCCTCGATTACACACCGTTTCTGTTATCCGTGATTTATTGCTTTCCCTGTATCAGCTCAGATAATCGAGGCATCAGTGTTTATTTATTTACTTTCACAGCAACGAGTGCATGCTAACAATCAAATGGTATGAACAACTACATGATGATATTGCTTGAACTAACTGCCCATCCGAGTCGAAACACGTGCACTGATTGGTTGAATTGAAAGAAAATAGAAAAACAAAATGGTGCAAAATTAGTAATGTGTTTTGCAACCACAGTGGTTCATTCCTGTAAAAATATGAAGTGCCGAATCCACCGATAACATCATAGAAACAAAGTCTGAGTTAGGACTCAAATAAAGCAAAAATAGTTCTGGACTTCCAAGGGTCCAAAACTGTTCTAGATTCAAGTTATATTTAGTACAGCCCTACGCACAAATAAAATGGGAGATAACACTATTCAGGAATGTTGACAGTTCATGTGATAGGAAAACTGAATTACAGCCACTTTCAACAATTTCATCAGTTTTGACTGCAGAGCTAACTAACAACTTACTTTCAACAATTTGATCAGTTTTGGCTACAGAGCTAACTAACAACTTACTTTCAACAATTTGATCAGTATTGGCTGTAGAGCTAACTAACAACTTACTTTCAACTCCTGGAACAGACTGATCAAAACTATAATATCAATCCTGAAGCCAGACTGTGACATAGAGATCTAATGCATTCTGACTGACTACAACCTCTGCTGTGGACTGCAGTTTTATCTATTCAAGGCTCATGAGCACAGTTTGTGTCATCAAACAGTTGGCCTCTTATTGAATAATAAATTTGGTGAATTGATACATTACTATTCACACACACCTAAATTAATTTAAGTTATTAATTATTATTCACACACACCTAAATTAATTTAAGTTACTAATTATGGTTGGAGACAGCTTGAATGGGTAATGAAGAAAACGTTTAACATAACAGCAAATATACAACGTTTCGACAAGGTTTTGTCATCATCAAGTACCATTATTAGTCTCAAAGTGGGTTCCTCGTCATCGAATTTAAGTTACTAATTATTAATAACACAAACCTAAATTAATTTAAGTTACTAATTATGGTTGGAGACGGCTTGAATGGGTAATGAAGAAAAACTTTAATATAAGGGTGCTACTATAGTGTGAGGTCTACCACAATATGTCGCCTACCCAGGTCTATCAAACATGTATAAAAATATATCAAATTAAGTGTTTATTGCTAAAATAAATGTATGGAAATGTGTGATATCCATGAGGGATGGATAATGC